GACTTTTATACATGAAAGTGTAAAAAAGTTTTTTTTGATATATACAAAAGAGTGATATTATGAGTTATGATGTGAATGTAAGTTTATAGTTAATCTGTACATATAGGAGAAAAATGGCACATGAAATCTCTGAAACTATTTGACCTATAGATTTGAAATTCGTCTGGAATGTTCTTTTTATTCAGTAGAGATCCAACTAAAAGGAGATTACGGGAACGCCGACTGTTTTCTAATCATGCATTTGAGTTTAACTATTTCGTGAATTTTTAGAGGGAATTGAATGAAATTTTAAATTTAGATATTTCATGACATACGAAATTAAAATATTTTAAGGTTTTAACGAGCTGCATTTTAAAATTTTATTATAATTTTTTAGAATTGAGTACAAGAACTATTTATCGATTGGTGTCAATAATTTTGCTAAACTTTGAATGGGAAATTTTGCATCGTGAAATATTTCAGTCAAAATTAACACTAAGGGATGCGTTTTAAAATTCCTATAATTTGTAAACTTTCATACAACATTTATCAAAATTTTAAGACTACTCTTCTTTCAAGATGAAAAAATCAAGTACAGTGAAATACGTTTAATGAAAAAACGCTTAAGACGAAATATTGGCTAACACGAAATAACACAGCAGTCCCTACTAACTACTTGTATTTTCATGTATGGTTTTCTCCTAACATGGAACGAAAATCGCTTAACGCGAAAGGATTTCCCTTCTATAGAAGGAGGATGTTGAAACTGAGACGACATTTAAGGTATCCGACTACGTTTGGACCCGTGATTTTAAAAAATCGCATAAATGGATAATTTTCATGATATTTAGTGTCACTTAGATTAGAATACATGCATAAAATTGTTTTAAGGAGATTTTGATAAAAAAAAATTATTTAAATACAATATTTCGGCAAAATTGAACTTAGAATAAACTTTTTTCAAAATGTTCTCCTTTTGTGAAAAATGCTTCTATTGTAATAATATTTTGCCTGTATATAGATCAAATCTCTGTACAAAGGCTCAACAATGATTTTTGAAAAATTCGCATTATTTTCAGAGTTACAACCCATTGAAATAATTATCGGCGTTTTTTTCTTAATATTTCTCCCCCGTGTTGTCGTAAAACATGGATAAACCCGTCTCTAAGTTATATATTTCAAAAATTCTAGTTGAGTATCTGTACAGAGGTCTGAGCTATATACAGGTAAAATATTATTAGAATAGAAGCATTTTTCACAAAAGGAGAACATTTTGAAAATGGGTCATTCTATGTTCATTTTTTGTCGAAACATTGTACTTAAATAATTTTTTATTATGATACTATTCTTAAAACAATTTTATATACATTTTCTAATCTAAGTGACACTAAATATCATAAATATTATCCATTTACACGCTTTTGCAAAATCACGGTTCCGAACGTAGTCGGATACCTTAATGAAGTGTTTGAGAATGTTTCGGTATTATTGTACTATCCTACTGCATCATCCAAAGAATTCGGTGCAGTAGATGATAGTAATGTGTGTATAGTCCCAATTATGAAACAGAAAGACATTGGAAATTGTTCAAAACTCAAAAAATATCAATGATGCAGATTCCGAGTACGAAAATAAAATGACAAATGCAGCTCCTGTTCCCACGACATCCGAAATGAGGAACGTCGAGAAAAAGTATGCGCAGTTATTTAGACTCACATTCCAATGTTGAAATGAATCACAAAATGAACGACATCGAACAATTTATTGACAATTTGATGGTAAAAAAGACAATGCAAAGAAAAATACCAGATTATTTTCCAAAGACACAATAAATGTTTTTTCTTCAAAAAACTTGAAAATTTTATATTAAATACATCCATATATACATATGTATGTAAATAAAATGGGCTCGAATAAACTTAATTTTGTTGAATGTGTTTTTTTTTTTTTTGCAATATCCTTTAAAACGAAAAAATATTTCAGTCCCCTCAGTTTCATGTAAGACAATTTTTACTGAACGTAAATACGACAATATTAATGAGAAAATATTTTTTGAGTTAATTAATTGTTTCATTAACAATGTTATTTCATTCTTTTTAATGATAAGACTGGTATGAAATTTCTCTAGTTGAAAAGATATTGCGAAAAATATTAAGGGTTCCCTCTAATCTTTAAGACTTTGCTCAATGTCAATTTGTTTGATAAGATCTTTATGATGATGAAACAACAAGAATACAATGCAAAGAACACGTTGTCCAGGATTTAATGCGGTTTCCCGCATGAGTTAACATTATTAAGGAAGCCACAAAAATTACAATTTCATCATACTTTTATTTGCAAGAATTTTTTCAGAACCGAATTGTAAATATTACATATTTGCTAACTTCAAGTTTCTCTTCCTTTTTTAAAAAAAAAAATTGTAAATAAATTTCTTTTTTTTCTAAATCGTAAATAAAATCTTCGTTAAAAATTCACAGTGTCAAAAGAATTTCTGTAAAGTTAGCATTTAAAAAGTTCATGCTTAATGTTTATTAAATTGTTACTTGAATTATTTTGTCTATAAATTTTAAATACCTCGAAGATTCAAATTATTTCTAGAATCATGATAAAAAATGTAAAATATTTGAGAACTTGCTTTAAAATCGCCTTTAGAAATTTACTTCTTGCTTTATTGAAAAATATTTTTATTGAGATTTTAAGACAGGTATGATACATTTTAAAGTATGGTAATCTTTAAAAATTAAAATTTGAGAATGTTAAAATGTGTAATGGGATTTTAATTTACAATGAATATTTTATCTTCAGCCGACTTGGCATTTATTTTCTCATTTTGCACGAAGAGGAAAATTTTCCTCATTTCAAAACAAGGTAATGAAAAACAAAAGTATTCTCTGAAAATTTTATATTTTTAAAATAACTTAGAGCTAAGGGAATAAATTAATAACTTATTAATGCATATATTTAAAAAAGACAACTCAAGAATATAAAACTACGCGAGTTCTTTAAACATTTTAAAATATCTAAACTTATAGAAATGGACAAGAGTCAAAAGGAATTAAGAGAGATAACTGCTCTTTAATGATGCTCTTATGATAATACAATTATAGAGGCTTTCAGTTATGTTGTTTTAATAATAAAATATTTTTGTGTTTGCTTAAATTAAAATTTTGAATATATACCCTCTATAGCAGCGATACTCAACCTGCGGCCCGGTCAGGGCCCATTGCACTGAGAAATTCATTTATTTATGAAAATTTGGTGGGAAATTCTTTGTGAAAAAATCAGATTTATCAGTTTTGCTTTTTACTGTCGATGTCGTATGGATGCGAATTGATAGATATTTTTTTTCTGATTTATGATAATAGACAACAGTGGAGTAGCGACCATTTTATGAGTGGAACTAATTTTTAACTATCTTTCGTATCTTACAAGCGAAAAATATTCGAAGAAACTAAATTGTTTCAAGACAATTGGGAAGTTGATTACTTTGTCGGGAAAAACAAGCATGGTTCAGAAATTGTTTGATTTGTCACGAAAGGGTATTTAAAAAATACCAATAAACAGGAATCGCTCAATCGTATTTTTCCTCGAAGATCTCTTTCAAGGGATGTTAAAGAAGCTTGAATAATTTTTACAACAGAAAAAACTGTTTTGCCAGTGGTAATGTCACAGCTACAACAAAGACATCCTATGGAAATTGTTATATCATTGGTTTATCACCAATTGTTGTATCATAAAACCGTTTACTGATGCAGAAATTGTGATTCTTAAATGCTTCCAATTTAGAAAAATTCACTGTGACATAAATGAAAAATAATAATTAAAAAAAGCAAAATAGGAGTTTTAATATTTTGATCAATTTCCACATTTTAAATTTTCTATTTTTTTCCCGCGTGTAATAACTAACATATGTATGCGGCCCGGCAGAAAAAAAGGTTGAGTACCCCTGCTCTATAGTGACAACATTATATAGTTTTAGCATTGCCAGCATTAAATTAGAGGCATTTATATTGTTTAATATCCTTAGTCCCCTGTATACTCTAAATAACGACTCTAGTCTCACACATTTAAACTATTTAGTATAAAAATTTATTATACTTTTCAAAATTCTCTCTTTCTTTCGTATATGTATTCATAGTAACTATTAAGTAAAAAATGGAAATAAATCTCTAAATTTTCCAATTTACTTAAGATTATTTTAAATTTCCTTTATTTGATTTAGAGATTTTTTTAAAAATTACTTAATTTGGGTTGAATATAGAGTAAGATAAAGCTTTTCTGTATTAGAATTATGATATAACTAAAATATTAGACTTCATTTATACATATATTATACAAACGCAAGTAAACTCTATGCGAAATTTTTAGAAAATGTTTTAAAAATACTACTTTTATGACAGGCATTAAGGAATCAGTTTAAAATTGTATTCGTTTAATATTAAAGACTAGGTTTCAAACTCGGAATGATTTTTTCGACAGAAAAAAGTTAATATGGATACAAATATCTATACGTAGTGCATAACACCACTTATTTCATCATGTCTTTAATTAAAAATTAAGGAAAAATAATGTTATTTTTTCTTTAATGCAAAATAAACCTTAAAATTATAAAATTAAAGCATAAAAGTCATACTATGAAATGTATTTTGTGTATGAAAAATTAAATCGATTTATACAGAAATGCAAACTAGTGTTCAAATAAGTACGATATTTTTGATAAGTTATTTAAGCCGACATGTGTGATATTACTATCAAAGTATTTTCTTTTTTCAATTCCTACTATTAGTTCTCTCTCTCTCTCTCTATATATATATCTAGTTCAAATTTGCAATCATTAATAAAATACTTCTATTCATCCATTCAAGTTCTAATACATTTTTTTAAACTTGTAGTGTATGATACTTGATGTTTATACAGTTTTTTTCAAATATTAATTCATAAGTTAAACTTAATGAATAAATAGTAACAAACAAAAATAATACTCCAACATTATATATAGAAAGAAAAATCGCTCGTTGTGTCCCTATACCGCAATGGATAGTGCGTTGGACTTCTAATCCAAAGGTTGTGGGCTCGAATGCCATCTAGGAGGGCTTAATTTCTGAGAAAGTGATTTCCTTAGAGTTCAGTGGATTTAATTATTCTGGATATTTCATTAGAATAATTAAATTTAATGAATAAACAGTAAAAAACACAAAAAAATAGTCCAATACCTTTTATAGAAAGGAAAATGGAAAATCGCTTTTTATTTTGTCACTTAATATTGTAATTCTGTCCTATGTATATACATATTTATATTAAATGTAACTATTTAATAAAAGTAACTATTTAATAAAAGTAACTATAAAATAAAATTTTCTTTGTTGACCTAATTAGGAATCCACTTAATTTTTTTTATATTACTTGTTATATAAGTTTTATTCCTATTCTCAATTATTAGAAGAATACAGCCTCAAAAAGAAAATGCAAAACCGGAAAAGAGATTCTATATTATTCTTTACAAACAATCTGTCTGAAATGTAATAAATCTTTAAACTATTTCAACTAAATTCAGTACCAGAATCATCCTATTTTTTTTTTTTTTTTAAAAAAAAAAAGACATCAAAAATATTAATTAAAAGATTTTAACAAATTTTAATACCATGTAATTGTGGAAATATTAAAAAAATTATCAAATCTGTTAAAACAAAACCCAAAGGACCTTCACTATTCACGCTGCTGAAAAGCTAAAAAAAAAAAAGTTTAAGAAGCAACAAATAAACTACTTCATTAAAAATATAATTTCAGAGTGAATATCAAAATAAAAATATTTTCTATCAATGGCTTTGAAAAGAAAACTAAAAATCAAACATAGCGGATTATCTAACAACCAATAAATCCCGCAAATTCGATACATAATTTTACAGTAATTAAGATGTTCAGCAATAACAACACATAGGAAATAAAACCAATTAATAAGTAATCACCATACCATTCCAGCTAGAAGGTGTGAGTACCGGAACTATCTTACCTTTAAAGAGCACATGACGAAAGCCATCAAAAAGCTTCAGTAACTCTTCAGATCTAGCAGCCCTCAGGTCCGATGAGGGTACATCCTCCCACGTGGCCATCAATAGCGAACCGGACCGTGGTATGGGTGTGTGATGCACATCTCTGGTTGACCGCAGGCGTGTGAAGGTGGGTAACAGGAAGCAGTATAACACTTTCTCTTTACTAGGTATACGCTACACCCTTGGAACGGCCGCAGAACGAATGAAGTCAAGAGGGAGATCAAGTTATTCATTGCTTTGGATTTTAATTTTTAAGTAGAAGACGTATTCACTATTGTCCTTGGTGGCACGTGCCGGGCTGGACCGGTTGCTGGGAATTGACCGCGTTGTTGACTGAGATACATTGAATGGGTCAATTAGATTTCGGACGAATTGTGTTGTTTTAATCGATTTAGGTTTGAAATAAAATATTTGGATTGAGATAGTAATTGCTTTTGTTTGGTCGTTGAGAGCTGACCTTGGGGTTCGCGTTCCTCAAGAAAAGAATTAATCGTTCTGTTCGATTGAAATCTGTTTTGTTATCGATCGATTTGAACGATTATGGGACTAATCGATGAAACGATTATGAATTCTAATTGTTCCCCCCCTTCTATTTTCCGGTTGTTGATAATTGGCTGCGATCTGTTTATAGAAAGGTGCTGGTGTAGTAGAAAAGGAAGAAAAAGAAAATTTCGAACGAAACGTGTTTTGTTAATCGTTCTGGATGCGAGAGGAAATCGTTATGTTAATATTAATTGTTTCGGTTTCAACTTCCTTTGTGAACTTTGAACTTTGTTTGTGTGATATAAAAAAAGAAACATTGAGACTGATTGAGAAATAAATAATAGTTTATTTGATAAAAAGAATTGTTGGAAGTGTGTGGTTTGAAAATCAGTAGGAAGTAAAAAATGTTCATACAGAGTTAAAACTGACTTATTTAACTAAATTTTTTAAATTTTAAAATTTATTTAAATAAAAGGTTAAACGTTAAACCTTTAAATAAAAGGTTTCACATATAAATTTTTAAAATTTAATCTTGAACATTTTTTTTTATTATAAAATAAGCAGTTAAATGTTGCAGAGGTCACTTGAAAGAGGGTAGGAAAATCACACGAAGATTATTAATGGATTAACTCAGGGGTGGGCAATTGTTTTGGCTCGAGCACCCCACTGAGAAAGCGGAGGATACGGGAAAACCGCACCTTTTTAAAATGCTTGCATTCGTTAGTTAACTGAAATGGTATAAGCTGTACAGTAAAAATCATTAAATATAAATAATATAGAGGCAGTTTCTTTGAATTTATTTATTGTGCTAATTTCATATTTATTATTTATAGCTGCAAGCACATTTAATTTTAGAATCAATTTAATGAAACAAACACTTTCATAAACTTTTTTTAAAATCAGGAATGAGATTGCTTGTTGAAATTCTCATAACAGACTGTAAGTTAATGTAAACCAACTTGCATCTATATTTACTCTTGTTGAACTTCATGAAGGAAAAAAAATTTGCTCTCTAAGTTTTGCTTTTTGAATCAACACAGAGGACATTTTCTGTCTGTTTGTCTTTTTGACTGTCTTGGTGGGCCACGAAAACCTCTTGGACGGGCCAATGTTTGGTCATCACTGGATTAATTGATTATCAAAGTTATAGTACATTTATGTAAAGAATATTATAAAATATCGGGAGGCACTGAGACTAACATGAAGCCTTATATAAGACAACCATTTATTACAAAAAAAAAAAGATTAAAATATAATTTAAATTATCATAACTTTGTGACCCAGTTTTAATGAAGATAAGAAATTTCATTAAAACTGGGCATATATATATATATACATATATATATGGAATGTATTGGCCGAGTGGTATAATTTTCGAATGTTGTAGGGTTTCATGAAAACATCTTCGGAATGGACGTTCATCTTTTTATTTTCACATGACACATCAAAGGCGACAATACAAAAGCATACGAACACACAAAGACAAAGAGAGCTGCAGCTATTTACATTTTTACGTTGACGAGGCTGAGACAAAAAAGCAAATGGCGACGATTACATGATGAAGGCAAGCAGACAAAGAGCGATCACACAAGATTTTCGCTTTTACACCGGCAGTGACAAGCGTGTGAGACTATTACGTAATAGTAGTTCTGATTGGATAGAATGGGCGGGACAGGGATTTCGGACTAGTTGATTACGATTAAGATTAAAGAATTATTTTCTTACTAAAGAATTAAAGCTTGTTTACATATTAGTAAAAAGAGTTAACGAAAAGGATGCTAGAGGGAATTATTACACATATATCTTGTTCAAATTTTAAATTGTTAGTAAAATACTTTTTATCCATCCACACAAGTTCAAATATATTTTTTAAAACTTGTAGTGGATGACACGTGATGCTAACACAGTTTTTTTATAATATTAATTCATTAATCCTATTTAATTAATGAATAAATAGTAATAAACAAAAATAATAGTCCAACAGTATATATAGAAAGGAAAATCGTTCTTTGTATTCCTGTAGCATAAAGGATAGCGCATTGAAATTCTAATCCACAGGTCATGGGTTCGAATCTCACATGAGATGGCCTGATTTCTAAGAATGTGGTTTCTTTTTATCACACTATTTTATTGGAATAATTAAATTTAATTAATGAATAAATAGAACAAAAAAATAATAGTCCAACACCCTATATAGAAAGGAAAAAGGAAAATCGCTTTCTATTTTGAAAATTAATTTTGTGATTCTGTCATATGTATATACATATTTATGTTAATTGTAATTATTTAATAAAAAGTAACTAAAGTATAAAATTTGTCTTTATTGACCTAAGTATGAATTGACTTAAAAAGTTTTTTTATATTAATTGTTAATCTCAGAATATAGAAATGACATCAATTTTGATAATCATTTTTTTTTCGGATTGAATATTGCGTTTTGTTAAACTGTTTCCCACACATAAATAATAATCAATGACGTGAGAACTATATTTTCTCTCTCATCCTTATGAAAATTAAATTATTAATCACCTTACGGAAATTCCGAATAACACATTATAATTAACCATCACAATTTCTTTAGATAAAAAAGTTTTTTCTTCATCTTTAAAAACTTTTACCGTATTATAACGCGGTAATAGACACCTTTAAGAAAGATTTTGAAAAGGATACTAATCAAGAATCTCATCTACCGGTTTAACTAGTTTAAGATCAAAAATACCATCCATCAACTTAATAATAATGATCTTTTTACGTGTTTCAAATTTTCAGTTATTAATCATATAGTGTAGACTTAATTTTTTTTTAAAAAAAATATTTTCTAAAGTAACAAAATATTGCGATTATACCACTATAATAGGTTTACATAGAAATTAATTGATTCTGGAAAGGATAAGTATAGAAATATACGATGGAGTTTAATATGCTACAATAAAGATATAAGTTTGCAAAAAACTAGAAATTGGGCTTTAATATATGCTGCAAAGTTCTCTTGTACTCTCAGTATTTTTATTCGTATCAAAATTTACTATAAATGGACATTTGCGAAGGGAGAAAAATGCTTATTTTTTTCGGGTATAATTTCCTTTTTTTAATTTAAATACTTTAAATTAATTTTGTTTTTAGGTATCCGACTACGTTCGGAACCGTGATTTTGCAAAAGCGCATAAATGTATAATTTTCATGATATTTAGTGTCACTTAGATTAGAATACATGTATAAAACTGTTTTATATAAGGACATTACGACAAAAAAAATTATTTAAATACAATATTTTGGCAAAAAAATTAACTTAAAATAATCTTTTTTCCAAATGTTTTCCTTTTGTAAAAAATGCTTCTATTGTATTAATATTTTGCCTGTATATAGCTCAGACCTCTGTACAGAGGCTCAACTAGAATTTTTGAAATGCATAACTTGGAAGTCGATTTATTCATGTTTTACGAAAACAGAAGGGAGAAATTTTCAGAAAATACGCCGATAATTATTTCAAATGGTTGTAACTCTGAAAATAATGTGAATTTTTCAAAAATCATAGTTGAGCCTCTGTACAGAGATCTGAG